TCTCATTCCTGAGTTTAGGGGATATGATTTCAGTGTTTCACTGTTAAGTATGATGTTGACTGTAGGTTTGTCATATATAGCCTTTACAATGTTGAGGTACATTCCTTCTATTCCTAGTTTTCCTAGAGCTTTTATCATGAAGTGGTGTTGGATCTTGTTGAAGACTTTTTCTGCATCTATTGAGATGATCAAATGTTTTTTGTCTTTGCTTCTATTAATGTGCTATATTACATTTATAGATTTGCATATGTTGTGCCACCCCTGCATCCCTGGGATGAAGCTAACTTGGTCATGTTGTATGATCTTTCTGATGTGTTGTTGGATTCACTTTGCCATTATTTTATTGAGGATTTTTGCATTGATATTCATTAAGGAAATTGGCCTGTGGTTCTCCTGCTTTGGAGGTGTCTTTGTCTGGTTTTGGGATGAGAGTAATATTGGCTTCATAAAATAAGTTAGGCAGTGTTCCTTCCCTTTCTATTTCATGGAACAGTTTAAGGAGGGTTGGTATTAGTTCTTCTTTAAAAGTCTGATAGAAGTCAGCAGAGAATCCTTCAGGTACTGGACTTTTCTTTTTTGGGAGATTCTTAATTGCTGCTTCAATTTCATTTTGTGTTATAGATCTATTCAGGTGATTAATGTCCTATTGGTTCAGTTTTGGATGGTCATATTTAGAAATATGTCCATTTCTTCAAAAATTTTCAAATTTGTTATAGTATAGGCTCTCAAAGTAGTCTCTGATTTTCCTGGATTTCCAGGAAAATCTCTGCTTTTGTATGCTAATAAAAACTTTAAAAAGCCTCTATGAGTAAAGCTATCAACATTTCCTTATATATACAATGCAGATTTAAAGGAAAGGAAAAAATCAACTAATTTCTCTGGATAGAATATTAATGTTCTTAGTTTTCCTTAACAGTACTGGGTGGAATATGAAACATAGATTTATCTCTCACAGTTTTGTAGTCTGGGAGGACTGAGACCAATGTTCTAGCCCACTAACAGCTTGTGAGTGCTGTCTTCCTGTATTGCAGATGGCAGACTTCTTTTTTTATTTTATTCATGTGTGCATACAATGTTTGGGTCATTTCTCCCCCCTTCCCCCCACTCCCTCCCTTACCCCCCAACCCCTCCCTTACCCCCCCAACCACTTGCTACCAGGCAGAAACTATTTTGCTTTTATCTCTAATTTTGTTGAAGAGAGAGTATAAGCAGTAACAGGAAAGTCCAAGGGTTTTTGCTAGTTGAGATAAGGATAGCTATACAGGGAGTTGACTCACATTGCTTTCCTGTACATGTGTGTTACCTTCTAGGTTAATTCTTCTTGAACTAACCTTTTCTCTAGTTCCTGGTCCCATTCTCCTATTGGTCTCAGTTACTTTCAAGTATCTGCATTAGTTTCTCTGCGTTGAGGGCAACAAATGCTATCTAGTTTTTTGGGTGTCTTACCTATCCTCATACCCTTGTGTGCTCTTGCTTTATCATGTGATCAAAGTCCAATCCCCTTGTGTTTGCCCTTGATCTAATGTCCGTATATGAGGGAGAACATATGATTTTTGGTTTTTTGGGCCAGGCTAACCTCACTCAGAATAATGTTCTCCAGTTCCATCCATTTACCTGCAAATGATAACATTTCATTCTTCTTCATGGCTGCATAAAATTCCATTGTGTATAAATACCACATTTTCTTAATCCATTCATTGGTAGTGGGGCATCTTGGTTGTTTCTATAACTTGGCTATTGTGAATAGTGCTGCAATAAACATGGGTGTTCAGGTGTCTCTGGAGTAACCTGAGTCACATTCTTTTGGGTATATCCCCAAGAGTGGTATTGCTGGATCATATGGTAGATCTATGTTTAGATTTTTAAGAAGCCTCCAAATTTTTTTCCAGAGTGGTTGTACTAGTTTACATTCCCACCAGCAGTGTAAGAGCTTTCCTTTTTCCCTGCATCCTCGGATGGCAGACTTCTTGATGTGACTATGACCTCATGGGCTAAAGAAGGAGAGAAAGATCTTTAGTACTTTGCCTTTTGAGGGCACCAATCCCATCACAAGAGCTCCAATTTATGTCCTCTTGAAACTCAAGTTTCCTTCCATGTACACAATTTCAAATACCATCATATGAACTTTGGGAGAGAGATACATGCATCCTATAACAGATATGGTGGTAAATGACTTATTTTTCTTGAGAAAAATTTAGAAAGTTAAATTGGCATAATAATTATATGTATTTATGTGGTACAGTGTGACATCTCAACGCATGTGTAGAATACACCATGATCAGGCCTGGGTAATTTGTACATCCCAAATGTTTGTCATTTATTAAGGTTAGTAACATTTAAAATACTTCTTACTAGCTGTTTTGAATTATATAGTTAATTGTCATCAACTGTAGCTATCCTATAGAACATTGGAAATTATTCCAACTATGCAATTGTAATCCCATATCTGTTAACCATGCTCCTTCCATCCATTCTGCACCACACTTCCTTGCATCTGGTGATTACTATTCTTCTTTCTATGGATGTCATCATTTTATGCTTCCACAGGTAAGTGAGAACACATACTATTTCTCTCTAGGTGTCTGCATTTTATTTAAGACAATGTCCACCAGCCTCTTCCATGTTGCTTCAAACAACAATATTTTATTCATGCTAATGTCTGAATAATATTCAATAAGGCATATACACCACAGTTTCTTTATCCACTTGTCCATTCGTGGGCATCACAGTGTTTTCTGCTCTCCTCTGTGTGACTGGCTGTCTCTGGAGATGGAGAAAAGGAGCCTCCCAAACACTTCAAAGTCTCTTTGGAGATGTTTAATAGGAGCTAGTAACTTTCTGGGGGTAATTACATCAGGGGAAATACTTTCTCAAATGTGTTCTGAGCTTCCCAGGACTGCACTGTTATTGCTGTGACAGGTAAAATGGTAATTGCAGCTCTATGGGGAGGTAAGATCACAGCATAAGAAACCCATATCCAAGGGTATGGCTGCCCTTATCCCCCATAATACTGGGTGTCAGGACCATCAGACTGAGCTCACCATCCAGAAGGCAGGATGGAGTTAGGAGAATGTTTTGTATTTGGGCTTGACAGATAGAATCTGTAAGGGAAGGAGACAGATCAGGGGTCTGGGTAAGTAATCGTGTCAGATAAAGGGGATTTTATGGGTTTGAGCCTGGCCCAGTGCCAAAGCTACAGAGGCATGAGGAGAACTAGTGAAGATGGTTGAGGGTTGTAGACCCTTCAGCAATATCTGATGGCTCCCAGTATAATTTAATGTAGCCACCAGTAATAAAGACTTCTGTTGTGTAATCCATGTGATAAACCAGTTTCAAGGTGCTTTAAGAATGAAATTCCAAGCTGGGCACTGGTGGCTCGTGACTGTAATCCTAACTACTTGGGAAGCTGAGATCTGGAGGATTGTGGTTCAAGGCCAACCTGGGCAAGTAGTTCACAAAACCCCATCTCCAAAATAACCAGAGCAAAATGGACTAGAGGTATGGTTCAAGCAGTAGAGCACCTGCTAGCTAGCAAGTATGAGGCTGAGTTCAAACCCCAATGCCATAAAAAAAGTGAAATTCCAAAATCAATTCTCTCTTTAATCTGCTTTACACAGATCATGTACAAAATTTTAGAATACCTCCAAGTGCCCCTATCTAAACTCCATGTTTGTAATAATGAGTAGGATACTTCTACAACAGCTATCTAATCTTGTGCAGGATTAGTGCATCTGAATTTAATGGGTGGAAGAGAAGTGTTTTCTTAAACTCTGGTGTATGTGATGACAAGTCAATACAACAAGTGTGTCCCCACTAAGAAATGACTGGCCTGTTGCTTAGGGTGAAATTACATTCATTCTTCAAGTTCACGAAGCAGCATTTAAAGAACAAGGCACTTTATAATATTCAGGTTTGGGTAGCAGTTTTCAATGTTGTATGTGTTTTGTGATGTTTTTCCTCTAGTTTTTTAAATTCTGATATCAGGTTTTCATCTCCCTACAAATGACAAATTCATGAGGATATAAGTGTCTTGTGAAATTGATTGAATCTTTCAATAAGTCTTTGTAGGTCAAAACATCATATAGATTAATACACAAGTATAGACAATTTAATTTCAAGTATTAATACATTAAAAATCTCATATCAATCCCAAAGTATATCAGTTAAAAAAGATAAAATGCACAAGATTTCATGAACTCACAGATTTATTTTTAATAATTGTCCTAGATTCATATTTGTACTCATCTCACCTCATTTCTAGTTGTTTTAATTAGCTTATGTTTTGGTTGATATGTATATGAATTGAAACTAGTAAAATTTAGTTTCAACCCTACTTTAATTTTACCATATATTTGTGTTTCATATGCCATTGTTTAGGATATGACATAAATGGCTCAATAATTCCTGTGGTTCATTTTGTTGAACTTTTTTCCAGGCATAAAAGCAAATGATTCTGTGGCTTGGATTCATTATGTTCAACTTTATCATGGGGCAGGTTCTTGTAATCTTATAATATGATCATTGCATGTACCTTTTTGTCAAGATTTTTAAAGGTGTATTCATAATTGATGTTGAATTATGGAATAATTATTTGCAAACTAGTGGAAACTTGTGAATAAAAAAGAATAAAATTATGTATCTGATGTAAAGTATGATGGCCAGGTATTATGTAAAAATTAAGGATCAGGATTACTGGAAGAACTCAGTTAATTAGCTGTGATGGTGGTTAAATTCAATTCTTGAAATCAGCACTGACAAGATCAAGTCCTCACTGTACCCCAACTACTGTTGAGTTGAGACAAATCATGTAACATCTGTTTGGTTATATTTTCTTCATCTTTTTTTTAATAAGAATCACTTGTTTTATTTATTTTAGACTAATGATTTAAATTGAATACATTTGGGCAGGGTAGATATTTGACATGAAAAGTAGCTATATCAGAATGGACATCAGAAAAATAGTAACACATTATAGCAAATAGAAAATATTTTTCTGTCTGATCATTTCAGTGTTACAAATCCTGAGAATGTTATGTACTGAACAAATTAGGTCCTACCTTGTAATGAAAACTTGCTTAGAAATAATTCCTTAAAAATGTTTTGAGGTACAAATCACCTATATATTAAACATGAGTTTTTACATTTTACAAAGAGTTTAAACAAAAATATCAAACAATTACAGTTCAGTGGCTCTTAAAGCAACTCTCAGTCAGGTTCAAGGACACACTGTTCCACAATTTCCCGTAAGTTGGGGTTCTCCATCGCAGCTGCCACTTGCTCTTTATCATTTATCTGCTTGTTGATGTCTTCTTCTGTTGAGTGGGTTCCTTCAGAGATGTAGATTTCCAACTGTAACCCTAGCTTCTTGGGAGGTAGAGATCAGGATAGAGGTTCAAAGTCAGTCAGGGCAAATAGTTGGCAAGACCCTATCTCGAAAAAACCCATCATAAAAAAGGGCTAATGGAGTAGCTCAAGGTGTAGGTCCTGAATTCAAACTCAATACTTGTGTTTAAATGGCAAACACCGCTGAAGTTTTACTCTTAAGCACAGCCCAATAAGAGTTGCCAAAGAGCAATGAGGTACTGTTGGCGTGAACCTGATGATAACCAGATAGTCTTCTTCATTTATCTCCTGAACCTCCACACAGCTCTCCGTTACCACTTCCAGTTCTTCTAAAGTATTGGGCTTTTCTGGGTCCCGGATGGTCCGAATCAAATCATAAACCTCTGGCGCTTTCTCTTCCATGATCCGGGGCTGCCGGGCAGCTCCTGGCTCAGAGAGGCCTGAAAGTCACAGGACTCTGCTCAGCGTCCAGGAAAGCAGCTCGGACACCCGCTCCATCCTCACGCTCTGCCATCCCTGGCGACTGTCTATTTTCTTCATCTTTATAATAGTGTTGACCACCTCATAGAGTGTAAAGAGGTATAAAGAATAATTTGATTATAGATGTTTGCTCTTTATAACAGTATACATTGCAATACACTTTTAATGATAGACATTCTCTTGTTGGAATCTTTTCAATAATATGAACATATTTAAGTCAGTATTTCTAACTGGGAACTAATAGTAAGTAGAAATATTGGATTTTAGTGGATATTTTAATTATAATCCAAGCCTCATATTCCATAAAGGATCCTCTGGCTCTGAAGATAAATATCTCTTTGTGAGAACTGACAGAATGGATGCTGGGGATTTGATAATGGGACTTATCTCCTTATCACAGACTACACTTGGAATCCTGGGGAATTTCTCCTTTCTCTACCACTTTCTCTTTCTCTCCTTCTCTGAGTGCAGGTTGAGACCCACAGATTTGATTACTAAGCACTTGACTATAGCCAACTACTTATTCCTCCTCTTTAGAGGAGTTCCACAGACCATTTTAACTTTTGGGTTTAGCCATTTTCTCAGTGACCTTGGATGCAAACTTGTTTTCAATGTTCACAGAGTGGGTAGGGGTGTTTCTATCAGCATCACCTGCTTACTGAGTGTCTTCCAGGCCATCACTCTCATTCCCTGGAACTCTAGATGGGCAAAGCTGAAAGCAAAAGCTCCCAGGTACACTGGCACCTCCATTTTCCTGTGCTGGAGCCTCCATATTCTGGTAAATGTCATTGTTCCTTTGTATGTGACTGGCAAAATGAGTAACAAAAACATCACAAAGACAAAAGATTTTGGATACTATTATGCTGCTCATCATGACAAAAGTGGAGAGCCAGTACGTGTAGCACTATTGTCTTTCCTTGATATTTTGTGTTTGGGCATCATGCCCTGGTCCAGTGGATCCATGGTATTCATCCTGAACAGGCACAAGCAGAGGGTCCAACACATTCACGGGTACAATCTCTCCTCCAGATCCTCCCCTGAGTTCAGAGCTACCAAAACTGTCTTTCTTCTTGTGTGTACCTTTGTTACTTTCTACACTGTGTCCCTCACCTTTCATGTCTGTTTGGGTCTTTTTAGTAATACCAGTCAGTTGATGGTGGACATCTCTGCAGTAAGCAATGCAGGTTTCCCCACTGTGAGCCCCTTTGTTCTCATGAGTGGATTCTCCAATGAGTGCAAGATTTGCTTTGCCTGCATGAGGATCAGAACATTCCATAATTTTCTCAGAAATATGTGAAATGTATGAAGCTATACAATGTCCAGTTGTTTATTTACTCATTGCAACAGAACCACAAACATACTATGATATTAATATCATAAGAAACTATCAGAGCACACAAACATTTGTATAAATACAAATATATGCTTACATGTGAATATGTGTTGTGTATGACAATCAGATTATGTGTATTATTCTTCAAACAATAACACTGAATATTCCACATAAAGAATGTAAAAAAGAAGCCTAAAAAACAATGACAAATGCTTTACCATTTTAGCATTTTTTTAATTTGAAATTTGTACTAACATGTTATCAATGAATGGTGAAATTCTCTTTAAATCTTGATTGAATATAGTCAAGCTTTTGTCATCAATAGGAACAATTAGTCTATGTTTGTCTAAGATAATAAGAGATATATTTGGAACTATATTTATCAGCTTACTGTATATTAATTTTAACATAATCCTACAACTTAAACCATTTCCATGGGATGTTCTATATTTATGATACATTAATTTCTAATCTAGAAAGTCAGTTTATTTTTAACCACCAATTACAGTGTCAAATATTTAAAAATGTGTATCCTGTGGACAATATTACATTAATTTATTCACCTTTTAACTTTAAAAATTCTAACATGGCTGGGTGCTAGTGGCTCACGCCTGTATTCCTACCTACTCAGGAGGCAGAGATCAAGAGGATTGTGGTTTGAAGCCAGCCCAGGCAAATATTGTGGGGTACCCTATCTTGAAAAACCCATCACAAAAAGGGCTAGTGGAGTGGTTCAAGGTGAAGGCCCTGAGTTCAAGCCCCAGTACTGTAAAAAAAAAATTCTAATTTGATAAAATGGTACAGAGCATCATGGTATAGAGCAATTGTCTTGAGTAAATGCAGCCCTGGGATAGAGCCCAGCAGCAAAAAACCATAATAATTCTAACATAAGCTTATTGTTGGTACTTTACTTGCTATTAGGAAGTCCCACTCCTCCCCCGTGTACCTGTTCCATCCCTGTACATATGCTCAATTATCAGTAGCTTTATAGAAACATTTGAAATTGCTTCAGGATTTTAGGAGTTGTGAAAACTCAAACTTTTGTAGTACTGCTGTATAATAGTAACCAAGTCACAGTCTTATATGGTAAGCATAAGCCACAATAGATATAAGTGTGGATGGAGTTGTCAAGGGGTAAAGCATGGCTGCAGACAGGCAGAAAGATAAAAGATTCTGACCTTGCATAGTCTCCAAGTGTAGAAAAGTATAACAGTGATAATGCAATGCTGATGCTAGGGTGAAAAGATTAAGGGAGTAAGCTTTCCCTCTTCTAGTACTGCCCTTTATTCATACCCATGGTAGCTTCCAGGGGCTCTGTGCCTTCCCCTGTGCATATTCCCTGCCAGGGGATAGTGGAACTCTGCTATAGCTCTTGACTTAGACAAGTATAAAAACTTTAGTATGTGTTTAGTTAGAAAGAGGGAATAAAGGCATTCTGGATCCACAATGAGGGCAAGGAGTTATATGTGGGGCTTTTTATGAGAATTCATCCTTTTCTGCTGCTACATCAGTGTCTACAGTAGAAATTGGATGTGATAGTTTTTTTCTCTCTTGTATATGCATACAAGGATTCTAACGTGAGTGAGGAACAGGTAGGGAAGTCTATGTGAGAAATCTCCCTGCCATTTTCCCCTATGTGCTTGTTATGAATGCTCATGACTGTCTCTGCTCTTTGGTGGGCAAGATTTTTACTACACAGATTATCTGTTTGTTCTCAAGTCAGAAGCTAAGTCAATATTCCTCTTTCAGAAGTTATCACTCCTCTATCAGTAGGGGTAGCTAATAAATTCCAAAATAATGCAGAATCCTGTTTTCCAGTTAATTAATGGAGTATGTGAGGAAACATCACACAATGGTCTCAGCCATCCAGAAAATATTGATTTCTCCCTGGAAAAGGGAGGCAGCCTCAATCTACATATGCCCTTGGGTTAGGATTTAGCCTCATCGCTTCTATGGCACAATGACAGTTACCATGACTTTAAAAGCCAGTTACTTGTTTGGTACTGATCTTTTGTCAAATGGCACATTTGAGAAGATGCTCTTTCTGGCATTCGTAGCATAAGCATGAAATTGGTGGGTGTCTATATAAATGTCTTTCCTAAATTTCAGATTGCTATCTGATCATTTCAGGGCAAGATTTGTCTTCATTTCCCATAAAAGCAACACCATGTCAACATCAGAAATACAAATAAAATTTTAGTTATTGGAATGAGACACAATGATTATCTGCACCCAGAGGGAAGTCAGCAACTCATATCCTTAGGGAGGGAATCAGTCACATAGAACCTACGAGCTGTGGGGGAAATGAAGACATTAATAATCTTTTGTTTTTCTCAACCAATCATGTTGAGTCTCAAAGAAATATCAATGAATCAAGTAGGTTCAGAATAGTAATCATGTCTTTTATGAGAGAAGGTAGGGCAGGATTTCTCCTTTTGGTCCTGCTATTTCCCTAAGCAACCTTTGTGACTGTTCCATTGCTCTGTGATGTAGGCGTGAAATTCTATTGAGGGGTATGTACTCACTGTTTAGGTTTCTGAAGCCACAGTTACTTTTTACATGATAGAAATCTACTGCTTTTTCTGAGGAGACAGCAGCCAATGACTGAGGTTAGCTGAATTCTATGGAGTACAGACTCCATTTTTTACTCCTTGTATTGACCAGGGTTTTCCTTATTTTACTACTACCTTGAGATTATTCCACTTGTATCCACATTTGGATAAATCAGAGACACAAATCTCTGATTTGTTGTTAGGGAATTCTAGCCCTAAATACCAGCAGAGACTGACTCTAGCCTCTTCATTTTCCATGTTACGAAATGAACTGTGTTGGTGCAGGTAAAGACTCTGAGATAGGGTCTGTCTGTATTAGAGAACTGTACTTCTGGAGAACTTACTTGGTCAGGACAGAGGTCTCAGTGAGGATTAAAACCGGTGTCCTAACTTATAGGGTATTATATATTTGAAGATTATTCTCCAGGATTGGATAGTATATTAGGTCACAAACCACAAAGAAAATCTAACCAAATTTAGGAAGATATAAATCATAACCAATATGTGCATCAATAAAAATGACATAGAGCAAGGGAAAGCAATAACAAGATGCAATTTAGAAATCATACAAATACAAGAGGATGGATAAAATGCTATGGAATAAACCAATTGGTTTATGTAGAAGTGAAAACGGGAATTAAGAACTCCTTTAATGGATATGAAGACAGCTCATACTGAAGCTTTCAGTCCCAAGAGGGAGGTTTGCAACAATAGACACTTACTTTCATTACAGAAAGAATCCAAATCTCTGATAAGCAGTCTAACTTTGCAACAAAAGAACCCAGAAAAAATAAGAACAGATTTGAACCAACAGTGGAAGAAAGGAAATTATAAAGATCAAGGTAGAAACAAATGCAATAAAATCAGAAGAAAATGGGAGCCTGCTGGTACCCCGTAAGACCCTGAACAAATCCATCAGTTGTGTGCTTTTACTTATTCATGGTGAGTATAACATAACTTAAGATTATTATTTTCAAAAAGAATACAAACATGAAACAACACAAAATCTTGAACACAAAATAATAGCTATGCAAAGATATCCATGTTATATTTTATCTAAAAAATACCCAACTCAAAAAAGGGCTATTAGAGTGAAGTGGCTAAAGAGGTAGAGCACCTGCCTAGCAAATGTGAGGCCTTGAGTTCAAATCCCAGTATCACAAAAAACAATAAAAAACCAACCCCCCAAACAACAACAACAACAAACAACAAAAAAACCTCTTTGTTTCAGACCAAAATGGAATGAGTAAATTAATGGAAGATGGGAAACAAGAGAATACACAACTACAATGTGGAATTTAACACTCTCAAAATGCTCTTGATCAATGACTGGAAAACATTAAAAGATGCCCATGTAATATAAAGATTCTATACAAAATTATCAAAATGCTAATGTCATTTTTTTTGTAGAAATAGAAAAAGCAATCCTAAAAATGAGATGGAATTAAAGGGATCATAAAGAGCTAAAAATTTTTCAAAAGATGAACAAAGTTACAGTCACCATATTTCTTAATTTCAAGGCATATTAAAACCACAGAAATTAAAACCACTTAGTGTTGACATAAAGGAAGACAAAGAGATTTCAAACAGAAAAGGGAATAGGGAAATAAGTCCTCACTATGATAAAGACAAAGGGTTATTAGCATACAAGTACTCCTTTCAGCATTATTTATGTGTAAGAAGTCAGGAAAATTTCTAACATCTACAAGAAGTATATATCTTTATTACGGTATGCTAAGTGAAACAAGTCAGTCACAAAAAAGGGCTGGTAGAGTGGTTCAAGGTATAGGTCCTGAGTTCAAGCCCCAGTACTGAGAAAATAAAAAAAAGAGACCAAAAACACATAAGGAATCAATGAAATAAAAAGCTGGTTCTTTGAAAAAACAAACAAGATTGACAAGCACCTGGCAAATCAAACTATGAGGGGGAAAATGAGGGGAGAAAAGACCCAAATTAATAAAATCAGAAATGAAAAGGGGGAGGTAATAACAAACACAAAGGAAATGCAGGGAATCATCAGGGACTACCTTGAAAACCTATATTCAAATAAATTGGAAAACCTAGAAGAAATTGACAAATGTCTAGATACTATAGCTATCCAAAATTGAGCCAAGAAAACATTAATCACCTAAACAGACCTATAACATGCAATGAAAGTGAAGCAGCAATAAAGAGTCTCCCAAAAAAAGAAAATTCAGAATCTGACAGATTCTCCACTAAATTCTATCAGACCTTTAAAGAAGAACTCATACCAACACTCCTTATACTTTTCCATGAAATAGAAAGGAAGGAACAATGCCAAACTCATTCTATGAAGTCAACATTACACGCATCCCAAAACCATACAAGGACAAAACAAAAAAGAGAATTATAGACTAATCTCTTTCATGAACATTGATGCAAAAAATCCTC